CATCGGTGAAAGAAATTTTATATGCGAAAATATTTTACAAGGTAGTGCCATATCTGGTTCTACAGTTATTATTCATTCATCTTAAATTTCAAAAAAGTTTGCCTTTCGACCAATATTCAACGAAGATTCACCTTTATTAAGTAGTTTTATCCTTTATCAATATCCTACTTTGAAAGAATGTTCTTAAATTTATACTATAATAAAAAATAAACATCTAAAATTAGCTATTCGTATTATCATATAATTTCTAGAAATTCAAGATGATTTCTGAATTAGCTTGAAAATTAAATAGATAGAGTCAGTTTGTAATAAATGATTCTAATGTTTGTTTTTATAGATCAAAAACCCATTTTAATGACCATGTTTTCATTATTCACTAGAAACTGTACATGATAATGGTCAAAATGATTTGATAATGGAAAAATAGTCATTTTAATGACCATTTTTCAATTATTCACTTGACAGGGTTTACGTCAAAGATTTCTCCGATCCACTAAAAGTTAAGTATGTTTTATTTCATCTCGTTTGATTTATATCAAAAATAAGTGGAAGGTTGTGTTCCTATGTGAAAAGATTCCTTTATATATTAATTTTATCTATCCATTCAAACAAGGTAAACTTTCTAACTCATCACGAAAACATCTACATTCACAATTAATTAGTAGACATCAGTGCTTTCTCTAATCGGTTGAAGATGAAGCGTCAGTTCTTTTACAATATTATGTTTGGTTCATAAGAAAATTATAGACACGCATTTGTTTCTTTAAGGTGATGGAGCTTTTTTCGCGCTTGATACATATCGGTTAGTGAACAAAACTGTGTAAAATTTGGGTAACTAGTTGTACTTTACAGTCGATGACTGCGGAATGATACTTCTTGTTTTCAAACAGAATAAGATGAGTATATTTTTTTCTAGTTGAGTTTTTTTTATAGAGAAGCTATAAACTATTTCGTAAGGTGCTGACGTTATTTTTCATATGTGAGGCGTTGATCGGGGCGAAGGAGAGAAAGAAACTATGGATTGGCTGGGTTCTGTGTATCTTTTTTGATGATAAGTAGCCGTCGTATCAGTGAGGCGAGTGCTTCTACTAAAGTTTCCCAGCGAAGGAGCAGTGGCATTATGTAGTTGAGAATAGCATTTCATTTGTAAAATTTAAGTTTTGATGAACGTGCATACGATTTATATATTCAGACGAGATACTTGATAACTTGAGTGCTTTATAATACGTTATTAATACTTCGATTCTTGCTCACTTTTTAATAATTTTTCTTTTTGATCTTTGGGTTCGATCGCTTTTATCGATTAATGGAATTACGATCATGGATTCAATAGAAAGGTTTCACGTATGGGTGAGTGGCGATTACTTTGAACTTTTAGATGTGTTTCATAATTTACGTCAGTGATTGTTGTCAATTGGTAGTCACAATGTACTGATTTATAGTAAGTTTTCAATTTAATCAGAGTTTTTTGAAGAGGAAATCGTCATCTATTAATAACTCATGCTTTTTTTAAAATTTCGTCAAGCAAAATCTTCAAAGTGAATACAGAATGTGCTGAACTTCAAATGCTATTTGCTTAATATTTTATGTGAGAACATGGTAAACGATCAACATCAATTAAAGTGAGTAAACGTTTTCGTGTGACATCACAGAGAATTCATCTGAAGCAACCACTTAAAATCATTCTTCCAAGTTACGTACTCCTCAGTTTATGGTGATTTACCTATCCTGTTTGTATTGATTAGTCACTGCTGGAAAGAGATTCGTACGATTCCTTTTAATCATCTTGATTTTTATCTTTATTGATCATGCTAAATTTTGATTCTCGATCGAATTATCTTCAGGTTTTCTAGTTTCGCTCGTTTCTTAGTTAGTCAATATTGGATTCTAAGACATGATCGAGTAAGAATTTCGTCAAATAGGAAGCTCAAAACGTAGAGAAAATAACGGATGTGGCTTCTTCCAGCCTCTGGGACTCTACCATCCTCTTGTTAATTATTAAGAAATGCTATAGATAGCGAGGGTTAGATACATACAATTATGAAAACTACAAATCAATACTGCATATCTGTTTTCATAGACATGTGTCGCCCATCGATCAAAGTGAAAAAAGCATCTATTCAGTCATTCTCCGACCCCTGAAGACAGTTCGTGGTACTCTTGAATCACTCTATATATCCTAACCTTCAACCTGAAAGCGATATTTGAGGCTAAGAATCGCTTTCACATACCTTATCATAAACACTTGGAGCGGTTGAAGAGGTTCAGAATCGGTTTCATATACCTTATCATAAACCCTTGAAGCGGTTGATGAGGTTAATAATCGGTTTCATATACCTTATCATAAACCCTTGAAGCGGTTGATGAGGTTAATAATCGGTTTCATATACCTTATCATAAACCCTTGGAGCGGTTGATGAGGTTCAGAATCGGTTTCATATACCTTATCATAAACCCTTGGAGCGGTTAATGAGGTTCAGAATCGGTTTCATATACCTTATCATAAACCCTTGAGGCAGTTGATGGGGTTAATAATCGGTTTCATATACCCTATCACAAACGCCGTCGACCATTCATGATGCCCATAAACGCTTTCCAATATCGTTTCTGAGAGGGGCTCACGGGTATAGTATTTTAATCAACCCTTTTAAGACTGAGTTTCGAAGGTTTTATAAGAACGTTTATGTTAATTATCAACCCGTTTCAGGGGTTTATGAAAGTGCAACGTGTCGCAATCCCTTTAAGGATTTATGAATCTTATCAACCCTTCAACAAACCTTCCAGAAAGAATATTTAACGGTAATAAACTCCGTATTAAACCCTTTTTAGAGGGTTTATAACAGGGTTCATGACTCGTTGATAAACGGTTGAAAAGGGTTTGCTATACGTTGCACTTTCATAAACCCTTTTTTCGTTTTTTATTCTACGATGTTTTTTTTACAGTGTATGATGAACACTATGTTGACTATATATTTTCTTATTAGACGATGGAACACTTTTTTAATGAAAATGAACACCAGCTTGAATGTATAGTGCATATACGAAGGAACACCTGCTTAACCAATGCCAATATTTGTGATGATTAAATTACGATGTGGTTAAGAACAAATAAATAGTCTATTTTTTGTTGATACACATTTGTTATTTTTCTGTTAATTGTATATGAATAAGAAAAGTTATTGAAAATAAACAATTATCAGATAGAAATATTTTTATGTGTATTAAAATAAGATAGAAAGAATTTTGGGAACGTCAATTTTTAATTCTGTTCCCATTCCCATAGGAATGGGAAAATTAGGGAAAAAAGTCGTTCCCGCAAGACACTAGTGTGGGTGTGCCTGCCCATAGTGTAAATTTCTGCGAAAAAAACGCGTTCTGAAAACGCATTTTTCCATAGCTGCGAAACGCGTTAATGCTGACCGGTTTGACGCGTTTCACATCTGCTAAAACAAACGCTGTGTAACGGTTGTTTTTGTGAAAAATTTCGCAGCGTTTCTCAAACTGTGGTGTCGTAAATTCTAGATGGAAAAAAAATTGAAAATCGTCAATGACTTCATAGATCTTGAATTGCAGGTACAATTTATGTATTCGTTTACATTTTTTCATAGGGCTTTAGAACGATAACTTACATGAATTTTGATGCAGTCAAGACACGGATTCGAACAAGAGAACATAGGAGTATAAGACATGTATACAAACCGTTCAACTAAAATAATCTAATGATATAAGTGTTTATTCTACTGTCATTTAGAGTCCCGCGTAAACTTACTAAATTAGATTTTCAGTTTCCATTTCACTGAATTACAAATTATCATTTCTTTGGTACCTATGTCCAATTACGAGTGTGGTCTTTTCTTGATACATTTTTTATTTAAACTCTTTCAGATTTAAATTTAGATACACAATAGAAACGAATTTAATCGATTTACACTATTTAATATATAAAAAATTAAATCTCTTATATATAAATTTTAAAAAATTTGAAATTTAATCTTTTATTTATTTTCTTGATTAATAGATTTTTGTAAATGTAAATCCGTCATCGTTTTGTCCAATTACATCAATAAATGAAAGGAGTTTTCTTTTGTAAATCGAATCTCTTTTATTAAAAAGTCACTCTTACTTCAACAATGTACAAACTAAAATCATGTTTACTAGTATTGTACACAGTATCATTAGTTATTATCAATTAGTTCGAGTATGAACTCAAACTAATAATTATTCAAATTATAGATAACGCGATAATTCTTTTGTTCACAAATAACCAAAGAGAGTTGCTATACTAATTATATTAGTATCAGTCTTTACTAAATCTTTTCGAAATGCTCAATATTTAAAACGACCTGTCCACATAAAACGTGATTCCGTCACGCTTTATTTGTTTTATTTCATACAAATGACTCGATCTCTAGAAACCAATGCATTTGCAATCTTGGACAAAAAATTGTGCTTGTCAAAATGAGACACTACAAATTTGTCTGTAACTTCTCATTCATTACAAACGAGCGTGACGGAATCATCTCCCTCCGTAGACAAGTCGAAAACAATTCTTAAGTAAACCTTACGAAACACGTTTTCTTTCAATAAAAACGTGGTGAAATGAGTTTTTAAGTAAGAAGAAAATATTTTTTGTTACGCTTTGATGTTTTACATTAGTCTAACTTCGAATTAGGTCTAGATAACAGCCTAGCAGCCTAAAAATTTCCAAGACTTTGATTTTAGTCTTGCCTTCATAAAATCCTGGGTCATGATTTTCACGTACAAAAATAGTGCAAGGAGCAAAACTTTCAAGTGCTATTTCATATCATTTCCAAAGTAATTTTAAAGAATTTACTTTGCTTAACTCCTATGCTTTGTGTTGGTGAATTTCTGCAAGATTCTGTATGCAGAATGGATATATTTTGCATCATTCCAAGCAAAAACAATTCAACACACATTTGAAAAAGAAACGCGTTTTACGTTTCCCCCAATTTTTATCTGTGGAACGCGTCGCCTGTCGCCCAAAGTGCGTTCGACAGCATTTTAATTCGGAAACACCTCGAAACGCAATC